TCGCCACTCACTGCGGTTCGGCTCTGCAGCTTCCCGGATTGATGCAGATGTCGGTGCCCGCGATTGGTCCCGGCCAGGCTGATATGTTTAAAGGAAGATTTCGCATCGCTTGGTCGGTCGATTTATTTGTCGGGTTTTTCAGTTTACGTGGTTGCTTGTTGCCTGACATATTCCCCATATTTCGGATGCGCGCAACGGCTCGAGTATGGCAGGTTGGCTCGAGCGCTGCTCTCAGTGTGCTGGTTTGCTCCGCCTCCTTCCTCCCCTTGTCCTCCCCGTTCTCCTCCTCCTCGTCCTCCTCGTCCTCTACTCACATTACTGCATTATGTTGTGTTTGATTTATTGGCGTGGCCGCTTGGGCCACGCGGTACGGATATAACATAACCTTTGTGCACCCGTGTGGACGATACGTTTCCAATGGGAATCGTATCATTTTTTTCTTTGCACCTGCCCGGATCCAGGGCCATTGCCGCTTTTCGGGGGCGTGGCTCATTGCGGGCAGCGATTCGGTAGCATATTGGTGGTTGCGCCGGTCCCGCGGTACAGATTTAAAATCGCGCTCTCGCGTGGGACCTCATCGCAACTTATTCAGATACCGCGCCCTCGACACTCAGGAGTCACGCTCTCGCTGCGGTTAACCCCGCGATTTACTTGAGATTCGCGCTATCGCTCGAGACTTCGTCGCGATTCATGCAGGACTCACGCTTCAGCAACCCGCCTGCTCGACCTGACCGCCTTGGCCCGCCTTCCCGACCCGCTTGTTAGGGTCTACCCTCATGATCTGCATGTCTGGTTCTGCCACGTGTTTTCTGCTCCTAGCTCCCCTCTTGCTACTTTCTCTCTCTCTCTCTCTTGTGTTCCATCCTCCCTCCCCCGTGCCCTTTTCTTCCATCCGTCCTCTCTTCCCCTGCCGCAGGGGCTGCATGGCATACACTTTGCAGGTGAGAAACATATACCCCCAATGGGGTACGACGAAGACGAAAATTGCGTGTATCGAGGGTTTGGGATATACGTGTTCAGTGGCACGCGAGCAAATATGAGCGAATCGTCTCAAGCTGATTGTTGTTGTTGTTGCTGTTGTTGTTGTCGTCGTCGTTGTCGTCGTTGTTGTCGTTGTTGTTGTTGTTGTCGTTGTCGTTGTCGTTGTCGTTGTCGTTGTCGTTGTCGTTGTCGTTGTTGTTGTTGTTGTTGTTGTTGTTGTTGTTGTTGTTGTTGTTGTTGTTGTTGTTGTTGTTGTTGTTGTTGTTTTTGTTGTTGTTGTTGTTGCTGTAGTAGTAGTAGTAGTAGTAGTAGTAGTAGTAGTAGTAGTAGTAGTAGTAGTAGTAGTAGTAGTATTAGTAGTGGTTGTTGTTGTTGTTGTTGTTGATGCAGACGGGGCAAGCCACCCGGGGGGGAGGGGGGGAGGGGGGGGGAACAACACAACACAACACAACGCACCCCTACAGGAGGATCCTGTGGGATCCGTACAGGGTTCCATGGATTCCCACACGACCCTTACCGCCCATAAAACCCATACAGAGTTCCATCGGACTCCCATTCGACCCCCACAGGGTTCCATTGGAGTCCCATAGAACCCCTACAGGGTTCCATCGGACTATTTCGGCGCACCCCTCACGCGGCTCGTGGCCCTACAGGGGGCGCAGCCGAAGGCTTCGGGACCATTTCGGCGCACCCCTCAAACGGTTCGTGGCCCTACAAGGTGCGCAGCCGCAGGCTTTCGCGGCCCCACATGTGGCGCACCCGAAGGCTTCGGGCCCATTTCGGCGCACCCCTCACACGGTTCGTGGCCCCACAGGGGGCGCAGCCGAAGGTTTCGGGCCCATTTCGGCGCACCCCTCACACGGTTCGTGGCCCCACACGGGGCGCAGCCGAAGGCTTCGGGACCCTTTCGGCGCACCCCTCACACGGTTCGTGGCCCCACAGGGACCGCACCCGAAGGCTTCGTGTCCATTTCGGCGCACCCCTCACACGGTTCGTGGCCCCACAGGGGGCGCAGCCGAAGGCTTTCGCGGCCCCACATCGGGCGCACCCGAAGGCTTCGGGTCCATTTCGGCGCACCCTTCACACGGTTCGTGGCCCCATTTGTGGGCGCAGCCGAAGGTTTCGGGCCCATTTCGGAGCGCCCCTCACACGGTTCGTGGCCCCACATGGGGCGCACCCGAAGGCTTCGGGCCCATGCCGGTGCACCCCTCACACGGTGCGTGGCCCCACAGGGGGCGCAGCCGAAGGCTTCGGGACCATTTCGGCGCACCTCTCACACGGTTCGTGGCCCTACAAGGTGCGCAACCGAAAGCTTTCGCGGCCCCACATCGGGCGCACCCGAAGGCTTCGGGCACATTTCGGCGCACCCCTCACACGGTTCGTGGTCCCACACGGGGCGCAGCCGAAGGTTTCGGGTCCATTTCGGCGCACCCCTCACACGGTTCGTGGCCCCACATGGGGTGCACCCGAGGGAGTCTATAGAGTCCCTGGAGGGATCCACAGGGATTCTATAGAGTCCCTGGAGGGATCCACAGGGATTCTCTAGAGTCCCTGGAGGGAGTCCATAGAGTCCCTGGCGGGATCCACCGGGATTCTATAGAGTCCCTGGAGGGAGTCCATAGAGTCCCTGGAGGGACCCACAGGGATTCTATAGAGTCCCTGGAGGGATCCACAGGGATTCTATAGAGTCCCTGGAGGGAGTCTATAGAGTCCCTGGAGGGATCCACAGGGATTCTATAGAGTCCCTGGAGGGATCCACAGGGATTCTATAGAGTCCCTGGAGGGATCCACAGGGATTCTATAGAGTCCCTGGAGGGATCCACAGGGATTCTATAGAGTCCCTGGAGGGATCCACAGGGATTCTATAGAGTCCCTGGAGGGATCCACAGGGATTCTATAGAGTCCCTGGAGGGATCCACAGGGATTCTATAGAGTCCCTGGAGGGAGTCTATAGAGTCCCTGGAGGGATCCACAGGGATTCTATAGAGTCCCTGGAGGGATCCACAGGGATTCTATAGAGTCCCTGGAGGGATCCACAGGGAGTCTATAGAGTCCCTGGAGGGATCCACAGGGATTCTATAGAGTCCCTGGAGGGATCCACAGGGAGTCTATAGAGTCCCTGGAGGGAGTCTATAGAGTCCCTGGAGGGATCCACAGGGATTCTATAGAGTCCCTGGAGGGATCCACAGGGATTCTATAGAGTCCCTGGAGGGATCCACAGGGATTCTATAGAGTCCAGTCCATAGAGTCCCTGGAGGGATCCACAGGGATTCTATAGAGTCCCTGGAGGGAGTCCATAGAGTCCCTGGAGGGATCCACAGGGTTTTTTATAGAGTCCCTGGAGGGAGTCCATAGAGTCCCTGGAGGGATCCACAGGGATTCTATAGAGTCCCTGGAGGGATCCACAGGGATTCTATAGAGTCGCTGGAGGGATCCACAGGGATTCTATAGAGTCCCTGGAGGGATCCACAGGGATTCTATAGAGTCCCTGGAGGGATCCACGGGGATTCTATAGAGTCCCATGGAGGGAACCGCAGGGATTCTATAGAGTCCCTGGAGGGATCCACAGGGATTCTATAGAGTCCCTGGAGGGATCCACAGGGATTCTATAGAGTCCTTGGAGGGATCCACAGGGATTCTATAGAGTCCCTGGAGGGATCCAAAGACTTGTAGAGGGTCCCGAACGGATTCCGATGGGAATCCGTAGGGAGCCTGTAGGATTCATACAGAATTCATAGAGAATTTATACAGAATTCACACAGAATTCATACAGAATTCGTTGTGTTGTGTTGTGTTGTTCCCCCCCCCCCCCTCCGACTCACCGGGGGGGCGGGACCGGCCTCCTCAACTGTGGTGGACGCGGGAAGTGAAGCCCCGGACCCCGGGGGGACCATGCCGGCCTGTACTTAGTTCTCACTTCTGAAGAATAATTGTTGTTGATCCCCCCCCGCCGGTGCATATTGTTTTTTCTCAATCAAAGTGTGCCCCTCGACGCTAGCACCCTGTTTTTTGACAAGGGAAGTCTTCCTGCTCAAACTGGCCCCCTGGCCCCCGGGTTACAACAACATCGGCTCCCGCCTGAGACTTCTTTACAATTTAGCCAAGACCCCCGCTCCCGCCCGAGACTTCCTCGCATTTTATTCAGGAATCGCGCTCTCGCTTGGGACTTCCTGACAATGTATTAAGGAGCTCTCCCGGCGCTCTGGAGTCGCGCTCTCGCTGGAGACTTGCTTGCAACTTACTGAAGAATGGCCTTGCGTTGTAATTTCTTACAATTTGCCCAAGGACCGCGCTCCCGACACCCAGGCACCCAGGAGTCGCGCCCGTTGTGGCCCCATGTGCATGCCCTTCGTGGCCCCGCTGTCGCCATGTGTGTCCCCCTCGCTGTCCTACGTGGCCCAGTTGCTACCCTCAGTGGCCCCATAGTTGCCTTTTGTGGCCACGCATTATCTGCACTTCGTGGCCCCCGCTTGTTCGCGCTCTTCGTGGCCCCATACGCATTCCCTTCGTGGCCTACTTCGTGCCCTTCGTGGCCCTGCTGTCGTTCTCTCTCGCTCTCGCTTTCGCTCGTCGTCGTCCGTCGTCGTCGTCGTCGCCGTCGTCTTCGACGTCGTCGTCGTCGTCGTCGTCGTCGTGGTCGGTCCCCTGTCCGTCCCTCTTGGGGTCGGGTCGACGGTCCGCGGCCGCCCCGCCGATCAGCGCTGCCGCTGGCCAGGCCGACGGTCCGCGGCCGCCCCGCCGCTTGCCGGGGCCCGGCCTGCAGGGAAGCAAGGTATACCCCCCCATGAGCTAGGCCCGGACACTGTTGGCAACGGTGGTCGCATTGCATCCAATCGCATCATTTGTGTCTTTTTCCAGTCCTCCTCCTCTTCCTCCTATCCACCTCCTCCTCTTCCTCTTCTTCCTCTTCTTCCTCTTCTTCCTCTTCTTGCTCTTCTTGCTTTTCCTTCTCGTCTCCCTGCCCTCCCCCCTTGAGCTGCGGGAACCTCCCCTCGGCCTCGGCCTCGGATCTCCCCGAGGAGACCACGCCCGAAGTGGTGGAGCCGCTTTCGAGGACGGCCTTATGACCAGGGACGAGAGGACATCGCAGCACCACGCCCCGCGACGATCTCGGCCCTCATCAGAAAGGCAAGACGTAATGCTAAAGATACGTTCCAACATTCCAGAACAGTGCAGGATTTTGATGCTCAGGAGGAACTGGAACGCATCCTAAGCCGCCTGTATCATGGCAGCATTTTCGTCCTACTCCAGCGGGAGCTTGCGGTGCCCCTGTCCATCAGAAGCCCACCCGAGGCGAAGCTCTCCTCCACGTAAGATTGACCCTTGACCCGAATGACCTTGGCTCGAGCCCGCTGGGCCCCCCTATCGCTGCACGCGGTGCGATACCAGATGCCTGCGTGCTTGGCTATGACCCCCCCGCGCCAAAGGGCACTCGTGCCCAGGGTCAGTCTTGCGTGTAGCCGACTTCTGGCCTCTCACTCCTTCTGTCTCGGGCCCCCCATATCCGCCACCGCTGCCCGCCCCTTCGCCTCGCGGCCCCCGGCCTGGGCCTTACTGTCTGCCGCCCCAGTGGAGCGAGGGGCCGCCGGCGCAAGGGGTCGTTCCTTGCCTGTGGTCACTACTGTGTGTAGCCGACAGGCGTTTGTCCCGCGAAGGGGTCTGGAGTTTCCTGGCAGACTGAGCGTGTCACGGCGCCGGGTGGCTGGGCCTCCGCCCTCGCCCATCCGAGCGGGATGCTCGAAGTAGCAGGGTCTGCTTTGCAGTAGTAGTGTCAGTAGTAGTAGTAGTAGTAGTAGTAGTAGTAGTAGTAGTAGTAGTAGTAGTAGTAGTAGTAGTAGTAGTAGTAGTAGTAGTAGTAGTTAGTAGTAGTAGTAGTAGTAGTAGTAGTTAGTAGTAGTAGTAGTAGTTAGTAGTAGTAGTAGTAGTAGTAGTAGTAGTAGTAGTAGTAGTAGTAGTAGTAGTAGTGGTGGTGTGTGAGTGGTGGGTGGTGGTGTGGGGTGGTGGTGGTGGTGGTCGTAGTAGTAGTAGTAGTTAGTAGTAGTAGTAGTAGTAGTAGTAGTAGTAGTCGTAGTAGTAGTCGTAGTCCCAGTATAGTAGTAGTAGTAGTAGTAGTAGTGTAGTAGTAGTAGTAGTAGTAGTAGTAGTAGTAGTAGTGGTAGTAGTAGTAGTAGTAGTAGTAGTAGTAGTAGTAGTAGTAGTAGTAGTAGTAGTAGTAGTAGTAGTAGTAGTAGTAGTAGTAGTAGTAGTAGTAGTAGTAGTAGTAGTTAGTAGTAGTAGTAGTAGTAGTAGTAGTAGTAGTAGTAGTAGTAGTAGTAGTAGTAGTAGTAGTAGTAGTAGTAGTAGTAGTAGTAGTAGTAGTCCCCCCAAGGTTTGGGGAGCCTGTGGGCGGGGGGGCCACTGCTGCCCTCAAACCGCGGGTGGCAGCCACCCTTCTTTTTCTCGTGCCCTTACCGTTACGCACCCTCTTCCTTGCCCTGAAGGGAGGTCCCGGGATGGCGGCGGCCGCTGGCGGCGCTGCGGACGCAGGTGCAGGGGCTCGAGTGGCTGGAAGTAACGACGCGGCGGCCCGAGGTGAAGGCGGTGCGCTGGCAGCCGCAGTGGACAGCGGAGGTGCCGGGGCCGCCCCGTGCGCCTCCGCTGCCGCACGCGCATCGGCCGATGCAAGCAAATGCTTCAGAAGTCCCAGTGGACGGCGGCACCGACGTCCACATGCGGGACAGTGAAGGCCAGCCGGCGCAGCGACGGCGCCGCATGACGGGAGGACGTATCACTCGCTGGTGCGTCAGCGCCCAGGCGACCCGCGGCAAGCAAGCCCATTGCACCCGCTGCGTGGGAGGCTTCGAGGCGGGCGAATGGCGTGTGGCAGGCGCCGTGACGCGCCCCGTGGGCTCCCAGGCGCACGCGGGCAAGAAGTGGTTCCACGTGACCTGCGTGGATGGCCCCTTGCCACCAGCAGCGGCGATGGAGGGCTACACGCAGCTCCCCGAGGGCGACAGGGAACGCCTCGCAGCTGCTCTGGAGGCCCGAGGCGGCCCCATCTTGCCCCTGCTGGAGACGGTCGAAGGCCAGGTGCCCACTCCTCCCTCCCAGGGAGACGGCGCGGCAGGGAGTGCCGGGGTCGCCCCGAGGCTCCCTGCCGCCGCCGCGCCAGGGGCGTATGGCCCAGGCTCCCGTGGGGCTCCCCCGGTGGCAGCCGAGGCAGCGGCGCCGTCTCCCGCGGACATCCTACAGCCGCCCCTCGACGCCCCCGCGGCCGTGGACGACGACGGGGGGTTCGAAGCGGGCGTCTACGACAACTACCTGGACGATCAGGTGGCTGACGAGGATGCGTACCGCGAAATTCGGTTTGTCAACCTGGATTGGTGGGGCACCATCGGGCGGGGCCGCATCCTGCTACAGGGCTCGCCCACCACGGCCATGATCCCTGACAGCATGGCCGCCGCCGTTCGCCACGTGAAGGTGCGGCCGTGCCTAGCGATCGAGCAGGCCCGCCAGGGCAGTGACGACCTGGCATCGCGCACGCTGACGCGGTTGTGGAAGGTGTTCTTAGCGCTGGATGGGCTGCTGTTCAGCGAGAACGCGACCCCGACCCCGACGACGCGACGAGAACGTCTCCAGCAGCGTTTGCAGTGGATCCAGGATGGCCCATGGGATGATGCCGGCTCTCCATGGAGGACCAGACGCGCACTTCGGTCACCGCGAAGGGCCGCGAAGACCACGTCGCGGCCCGCGTTCGCCGCGTCGCCGAGCTCGCGCGAGCGGGCGAAATGTCTCGGGCGGCAGTGCGGCAGTGTGGCGGATGCAGCGGCGGCGGTTAGGAAGTTTAGCGCCACCCAGCAGCCTGCGGCGCCTCGCCCAGGCGAATGGGGCCCCCCCCCTGGCACTGGGGCCGCCCCGCATGGGCCAGGGGGGGGGGCCCCCCGCGGCGGGGGCCGACGTGGCGACGCCGCCAGCCACGCCCCCTCACGAGCTCCATGGCGCGGCAGAGCTACACCGCCGCGTGGCCAACCACCTCAAGCGCCAGTTTGGTCGCTTCCCCCGCCGTGGCGGTGCGGGACCTGGAGGCGGACGCTACGAGCACTGGGCCCCGCTCAAGCGCGACGAAGGCGGAGCGGAGGCGGTAGCCAACGCGCTGACGCCTGGCCATCGGCGACCTTCCTCCCGAAGCTCTAGCCGCCCTGACCGCGGCGCGCCTCGCAGGCATCCCCAAGGCTACCCCTGGGGACGTGCGAGTCCTGGGCCGTGGGAATGTCACCCGCCGCATGGTGGGCCGCAGCGCGGCCAAGGTCCATCGCAAGGACATGCGGGCGGCGGTGGGGGGCCAACAGTTCGGCCTGGCTAAGGGCGGATGCGGTGCCCTCCACCGACGCCACTGCACGATGGCCAACTCGAGCCCTGGCAAGTGGGTGGTGGCGGTGGACCTCGGGGATGCGTTCAGCAACATCCCCCGTGACCTCGTGAAGGAGACCGTGCGCTCCAAGGTGCCCGCCCTGGCGCCGCTGGCGGAGGCGCGGCCCCCTGCTCGCGCGCGCCACGTGGCGGGTGGTGGGTCCCAACCTGCCCAGCTGGTCGACCAGATCCGCGGCCTCGACCAGGGCTGCCCGATGAGCCCTGGCTTCTACGCGGTCGGCACTGCGGATGTCTTCAGCATCGGTCGCATGGCCGTGCGCGCGGTGGACGTCGAGGGAGACTGCCTGGCGTTCTTGGACGACGCGTACTTCGTGGGCGCAGCGGCTGCTGTGTTCCGCGGCTTGGATGCCTGGCGAGCCCGCATCGAAGCCCATGGGATGAAGCTGAAGATGTCCAAGACCCAGATCCGGCCCCCGGATCCTCACGCTGTCCTGCCGCCGGAGTTCGCGGAGTACGCCCAGTACTGCGCCCAGAAGCTCAAGGCGGTGGGGTCTACTCTGGCCTGCGCAAACCACGACGTGGATGCTGACTGGCGGGGCGTCCCGCTCGCGGACTTTGCCGTCCCGGAGGACCTCGACGAGGGCGGCCTCGCGCCGGCTGGCGGTGCCGGGGTCGCCCCGGGCGCCGCTATGCCACTCCCCTGCGGCGAGGCCTTCCTCCAGAAGCAGGACCGCTACTTCCAGGAGCTCCTGGCGCTCCGCACGCGCGGGCTGTCTGCCCTTGGCGCCTTCCAGTTGATGCGGATCTGGTCGAGGGGCGCCTGCGTCCACATCCAGCGCGCGCTTCCGCTCGCGGCGGCGCGGGGCCGCCGGGTGGATGACGGAGTGGTCGCCTTCGTCAACGCCCTTCTGGGGGTCGCGGCCGCCCCCCGAGAGCAGATCTTCATGAAGGTCAGCGACGGAGGTTTGGGCTGTGGCAGCGCCGAACAGCGCGGCCCCGCTGCCCTCCTGGCGTCCGGGGGAGCCGGGGTCCACGCGGCTGCCCGGGAGCTCCGCGAGACGACAACGATTGGCTTCTTCCGGCGGTGGCCAGGCCTTGGCCGCGCCCTCTCGGCGGCGGACGAGGAGCAGGGGCGTCTGGCAGGAGGCCGTCGCCCCCAGGGTGATCGTTGGCAGGGCCTCTTGGAAGGGCGGAGGGGCAAGGGCCAGAAGACGTACACCCAGCATGTACGTGACCACGCCACCAAGACGTTCTTGGCCGCGTTGCCGGCGACGGCGGCGGCGGCGGTGCATAGAACCTCGGGCAGCTCAGCGGGCGCCTGGTTGGATAACTTCGATGGGGGTTTCGCCCCTCGCCGACCGCGCGTTCTGCATTGCGGCCAAGAGGCGCATGCTCTTGCCGCTGCTGCAGTCCGAGTGCACGTGCCAGAACCGGCCGGCGGCGCCCACTCGCGCGGTGGCGCAGGCCGGGCCGGCGCGTGGCCGCGCGGTGGACGTTCGCGGCGTTCGTGCCGTCACTGCCCCCGGGGAGGTGGCCCGCTGCGCCGCCGCAACGCCGTTCGAGATGCTGTGGCGCTCTGGTTGCCATCGCGCCCTCGTGGAGCAGGTCATCCCAGAGTGGCGCGCGGAAGAACAGGGCGCGGCCACGCTGGACGGCGTCTACCATCGAGGCCTCCATGGCCGAGTGTGTCTCGACATCCGCTTGGTGGGCGAGGTGGCCGTGGCCCAGACGGGGCG